AAAAGAATTTTTATCTAAAGAAGAAATCAACATATTGAAACGATTTTTTTTTAAATAATAGATATAAATAGGTACATTACGGACGTAATAATACATGTATTCTAAAAATTTGTTATTAATAAATAATTTAAAAATATATTGCTTAAACAAAAAAATTAACAATTATGCAGGTTTTTAAAATTCTCAAAAATTTTATCTAAAAACTTTCATATCTTTACTATGTCTTTACATAAGTTTCAAAACGGACGTTTTAAAAATAGATGAAAAAAAAAATTTCAGAGTGCTGCATAGTGCCTGAAAGTAGCGTTTCCTTGGAAATTAAATAGAATTGAGTTGAGCTTTCCAAAAATTTGTAGTTTTTATCAAATTAAATTGAAAAAATAAATAAAACAATTAAAAAGATGACTTTTTCTCGTTTTGATTCATTATAGATGTAACAAAAAATGATTTGGCTCGTTTTTGAGTGAAATTTTAACAAAACAAACTGAAAATCCAAAAATTGACTATTTCAGGTTTGAGCACATTTTTTAATCAAAAATGCACCTTTCTTGAAAAATTATCCTCAAACAAGCCAAAAAATGATGTCATTTTTGCCCCTTTCAAACATTTCAGCGTATTTTTAAGCTAAAAACCTCTTTTTCATCAAAATAAGATGAAAAAATTACCAAATTAGATTGAAAATGACGTAATTTTTACCTTTTTTATGCGTTTGAACAGAAAATCGTGTTTTCCCTCATGAAATTTTACAACGAACCAAAAATTTTGAAATTACGCTCTAACAAGCCAAATAATCACTAAATTAGGTCAAAAATGGTCGTATTTTTGCTTTTTATGTAATTTTCTGAGTAAAAATCGAGTTTTTTCGTCAAAACAAACCGAAAAATATGTCAAAATTGAACCTTTTTTTTCGAAATGTCTAAATCTAATATTAAAACCTGTGAAGTGTCATGTGAAATGAACCTTAGATAATGTCACTGTCATTTTGACGTTTTAAAATGTCCAAATTTGACATTACACTTTAAATCACTGTTTTTTTGACATTTCGAAATGTCAAACTTGACATTAAATTCACAATGAAGTGACAAAAATTTAATGTCTTATTTTTTTGGAGTTAAGAAAAAACGGTTCAAAAAAAATTAACTAACTTTTTTATTAAAAAAAAACGATTCATTATAGATGTAACAAAAATGATTTGGCTCGTTTTTGAGTGGAATTTTAACTAAACAAACTGAAAAATCAACAACTTCGGTCAAAAATTACAGAAATTTAGCCCAAACAAGCCAAAAAATGATGTCATTTCTGCCCTTTTCAAACATTTCAGCGTGTTTTTAAGCTAAAAACTTCTTTTTCATCAAAATAAAATGAAAAAATCACCTAATTAGATTCAAAATTTGACCTTTTTTATTTGAACTGAAAATCGTGTTTTTCCTCACGAAAATGGTCTTATTTTTGCTTTCTTTGTATGTTTTTGAGCAAAAAAAAAAACAATAATTCACCAAATTGGAACAAAATTAATCTAATTTTGGCTTGTTTAGCTCGATTTAGCTTGTTTATGAGTCAGAAACGCAAAATTTTGCTGAAAAACATTGAAGTTTGATCGAAAGTTTTCAAAAATTTTGAAAAAATCATGTTATTTTTGCCCTTTTCAAACATTTCAGCGTGTTTTTACGCTAAAAACTTCTTTTTCATCAATATAAGATGAAAAAATCACCAAATTAGATTGAAAATTATGTAGTTTTTACCTTTTTTGTGCGTTTGAATGAAATTTTATGAAACGGACCAAAAATTACAAAACTCTGAAATTTCGCTTTAACAAGCAAAAAAAACGAAAAATGTACATACAAAACATAAACTTGTATTTCGATTTTTGATTTAAATCAAAATTTCTTGAAGTTAATGAAGACTTTGGAGTCTAAATATATACAGAATTTCCCTCAAAAATTAATATTTTTTTTTTGATTTTTCGAGAAAACACAACTTTTTTAAGTAGTTAGGGAATTTCAACTACTAATTGCTAGATTTTTTTTACATTCTCATGAAATAATTCTTATTAATTAGAAACGTCATAAATGTGAAATCCTATAAAAGATTGATGTTTGGAATCATCTGAATTTTGTTTTTTTTTTGATGTTCAAATATTGCTTCATATTTATGAATAACCCTGTATATTTTGAACAGGCCAATGATGAAGAAACGGTGTTTAGGGTTCGGCAGCCAGAACGTCAGACATGAGTCATACTCCGGCTTTGATATTGATTTCTGGCGGCACTTTCGGAGAAGAGGGGGCCTTTTCTCTTTACCCTCAAGAAAACTCACTATCTTACAAATTACCACCCTTCAACACGATTTATTCCATTTCCAACTCTACTTAATTTCAAAAGAATATTGTTAATTCTGCAAATCTTTACAAAATTCACTTGAAACCTAGACACTTTCTTTGGTGGATGCGCCGGGATATCACCCCCAGGAACAATTATTTATGATGGAAACGCAACATTAAAACGAAATCGACTCGATCATTAGCAAACTATTATCGATTTCGTGCCATTAGCAGGACAAAAGCCCACTACAGGGGGAACACAAAAAATCGACGAAATAACACAATTGCCTAGCAATAGTGTCAAATTTGATCATTTGCATAGCAACAATGTCAAATGAGACAGTTTATTTCGCGTTGTCTGGCAACTACATTTAAATTGCAATTTAATTAAAGTTGGCTGTGGTTGGTTTGTTTTAATGTAATTTCTTGAGAAATGACTGAAAAATTTCTTTCGAAAAATTTTTAACCTCTTTTGTTAATGAATCGTTTTTTTAAATTAATTAAAGTTAATTTTTTTAACTGTTTTTTCTTAACTCCAAAAAAATGGGACGGGACATATTTTTGACACTTTATTGTGAAACAGGTTTTAACAAAATTTAGACATTTCAAAAAAAAATGGTTCAATTTTAACATATTTTTCGGTTTGTTTTGACGAAAAAAACTCGTGTTTTTTTCTCAGATACTTAAAAAGAAAGCAAAAATAAGACCATTTTTGACCTAATTTATTGATTTTCTGGCTTGTTAAAGCGAAATTTCAAAGTTTTGTAATTTTTGGTCCGTTTCATAAAATTTCATGAGAAAAAACTCGGTTTTCTGTTCAAACGCACAAAAAAGGTAAAAATTCCGTAATTTTCAATGTAATTTGGTGATTTTTTCATCTTATTTTTATGAAAAAGAACTTTTTTTTAGTTAATTCTTTTGAACCGTTTTTTCTTAACTCAAAAAAAATAAGACATTCAATTTTTGTCACTTCAAATCCAAAGTGTCATTTTTGACACTTCATTGTGAAACAGGCTTTAATGTCAAATTTGGACATTTCAAAAAACGTCAAAATGACAGTGACAACTTCAAACTGAGGTTAGATATAATCGTTTCACATGTCATTTTAGAGAAATTTGACATTTTAAAACAACACTATCTAAGGTCCGTTTCACATGACACTTCACAGGTTTTAATATGAGATTTAGACATTAAAAAAATACTTACATAATTTTCGGTTTGTTTTGACGAAAAAACTCGGTTTTTACTCAGAAATTTACAAACAAAAAAAAAGCAAAAATTCGACTATTTTCGACTTAATTTAGTGATTTCTTGGCTTGTTAGAGCGAAATTTCAAAATTTTGTTATTTTTGCTTCATTATGAGGAAAAACACGATTTTCTGTCCAAACGCATAAAAAGGTAAAAATTACGCCATTTTCAATCTAATTTGGTAATTTTTTTCATGTTATTTATTTATAAATAAGAATTTATTTATTTATAAGAAGTTTTTAGCTTAAAAACACGCTGAAATGTTTGAAAAGGGCAAAAATGACATCATTTTTTGGCTTGTTTGGGCAAAATTTCTTAAGAAAGGTGCATTTTTGACTGAAAAATGTGCTCAAACACCTGAAAAAGTCAAAAATAATAATTTTCGACCAAAATTGTTCGATTTTCAGTAAAATGTTACTCAAAAACGAGTCCTGAATTCGTCATTTTCAAACTAATTTGTTGAATTTTCACGAGAAAACTGAGTTTTTAGCTCAAAAAAGTGCATAAATAAAAGTGCGCTTGCGAGTAAAAAACATGATTTTTTCGAAATTTTTGAAAATTTTCGATCAAATTTCAATGTTTTTCAGCGAAATTTTGTGAAAAAAGTGCGTTTCTAAATCATAAACAAGCTAAATCGATCTAAAAAAGCCAAAATAAGATTAATTTTGTTCCAATTTGGTGAACTATTGTTTTTTAATTTAGTGATTTTTCGGCCAGTTATAGCGAAATTTCAAAATTTTGTAATTTTTGGTTCGTTGTAAAATTTCATGAGGGAAAACACGATTTTCTGTTCAAACGCATAAAAAAGGTAAAAATTACGTCATTTTCAATCTAATTTGGTAATTTTTTCATCTTATTTTGATGAAAAAGAGGTTTTTAGCTTAAAAACACGCTGAAATGTTTGAAAAAGGCAAAAATGACATCATTTTTTGGCTTGTTTGGACAAAATTTCTCAAGAAAAATGTGCATTTTTGAATGAAAAGTGTGCTCAAACACCTGAAAAAGTCAAAAATAATGTAATTTTTGACCAAAATTGTTCGATTTTCAGTTTGTTTTGTTAAAATTTCACTCATAAACGAGCCAAACCGTTTTTTGATACATATATAATGAATCATTTTTTGTAATAAAAAAGTTAGTTAATTCTTTTGAACCGTTTTTTCTTAACTCGAAAAAAATATGACATTAAATTTTTGTCACGTCACTGTGAAACAGGCTTTAACGTCAAGTTTGACATTTCAAAATGTCAAAAAACAGTGGTTCAAAGTGTCATTTTTGACACTTCATTGCGAAACATTTTAAAACGTCAAAATTATAGTGACAAGTTCAAACTGAGGTTAGAAAATCGTTTTACATGTCATTTTTACCAAATTTGACATTTTAAAACGTCAAAATTATTATTTAACTAAATTTAAAGTTGTTTGAATGTTTCAGGGTCTCCAAGACAGCAACTTAAACAGTGGGGCTGTGTCCCATTTTGAGCCCCAGGTGGCGATGCTGTGCGATGCGGGCCCCCATGGTCAGGAGGCCTACCACCCCAAGTACATGACGGAGCAAGGGGAATGGTTGTCAGATCTCTACTCCAAAGCGACGTGTTTCAAGGACAAAATGGACATTTTGAACTATTGCAAAAAGGTAATATACAGGGTGTTCCGTTTTTATTGTTACAAATTTAAACAGGTGGTAGGATATTCAATTCTAAGACAAAAGTTTCCTATAAATATGTATCGAAAAATGCTTGGTAAGGGAGCTACACCCCCTGGAAGGGGGCTAATATGTTTTTGCTAATATTTCAGAAACTATTTAAGATAAAATTGCAAAATTTGGTACAGATGATAATCTTTATACACGTAAACGAATTCAAACATCAAATGTGGAAATTTTTAATCAGGGGCGTACGAAACTGGGGGAGTTTAAGGTAAAAAAATACCCTATTTATTTTGATTGTTTTGATAAAATTTCCCCCAAAAACGAGCTAAATCCAGCAAAACAACTATTAAATAACGTCATTTTTAATTTAATTTGTTGAAATTTTTTATCATACTTTGTCGAAAAAAACTGAATTTTTAGCTAAATGCTCAAATGTTTAAAAAAGATTTAAAAAAACATCATTTTTCGACTTGTTTGAGCCAAATTTTGCCAGAAAAGTGTATTTGTGACTAAAAAACTTGCTTCAACACCTGAAAAAGGTAATTTTGACTTAAAATGTTTTTTTTTTTAACTTTTTTTGATAATATCTTATCTAAAAACAAACTAAACAAGAAAACAATTTTTGAAAGTAACGTAACTTTTAATCTAATTTTGTGTTTTTTAAGTCTGTTTTGACAAAATCTTGAAAAATACTTAAGTTTCTCGCTTAAAAATTACTTAAATTGACGTAATTTGGTAATTTTTCAGTTTATTTGAATCTAATTTTTTGAAAAAAAGTGCGTTTTTGACTGAAAAGTGTATTAAAACGGTGGAAAAAGTTAAAAATAATGACATTTTTGCCACGATTCAGCAATTTTTTTTGACTTAGTTTGCTGAATTAATTAAAAAACTGTTACAAAAATAACTTAAACGTACTAAGAAAGCAAAAAAAACCACTATTTTTCACCTAATTTAGTGATTTTGTAGTTTATTTAAACAAAACTTTGCAAAAATGCGGTTTTGACTGTGAAAAAAAGGCAAAAATATTGATAAAATCATCAACTTGGTGATTTTTTTTTGGCCTATTTTGACGAAATCTTTACCAAAAAGTAATAAATCGTGGAAAACAGTCAAAAACAATGTCAATTTTTAAATTTTTATTTTATTTGGTGGTTTTTCGATAAATTTTAGAAAAAATGATAAAAAAATAGTGGGCTAATATGTTTTTGTTAATATTTCAGAAACCATTTAAGATAAAATAACAAAATTTGGTACAGATGATAATCTTTATTCACCTAAACGAATTCAATCATCAAATGTCAAAATTTATAATCAGGGGCGTACGAAACTGGGGGAGTTTAAGGTAAAAAAATACCCTATTTATTTTGGCTTTAGTTTCTCGGTACTTCCAGCAACAAAATCTTAAGTTCGATAGTTTATCACAGAAAAGTCTCTCTTGTGTCGATACGACTTATTATTTTTGAATAAAATTAATTTAAAATTTATGTTACACACCAATACAACATTCAAATAAATCAGAATTTACAGAATAATAAAAGCAAAAAATTCATATTTTTTAATCAACCTCAACTAATTAACATTACATTACAGTAACAATAATAACATTAATTAAATTGTCTAAATCTAAAAAAGTTGTTCAAAGTGACCACCATTTTGGTCAATGCATAACTAAAGAAACTAGAGCCAAAATAGATAGTATTTTTTTACCCTAAACCCCACCAGTTTCGGACGCCCCTGATTAGAAATTTCGACATTTGATGTTTGAATTCGTTTAGGTGTATAAAGGTTATCATCTGTACCAAATTTTGTAATTTTATCTTAAATGGTTTCTGAAATATTAGCAAAAACATATTAGCCCCCTTCCAGGGGGTGTAGCTCCCTTACCAAGCATTTTTCGATACATGTTTATAGGAAACTTTTGTCTTAGAATTGAATATCCTATCACCTGTTTAAATTTGTAATAATAAAAACGGAACACCCTGTATTTTTTTTGAGATTGAATTCGCACAAGTGGCTATTAAATAAGCGACATATTGGAGGAATGTCTCAATTCGTTTTTATTGCCTGGTGGTCGTCTTGAGTTATTGCGTTTTTGGGCCAAATGTGGGACACAAAACGTGAAATAATTCAAGTTAATGCGTGTTCCCATGAAGGTGTTTAAAGGGGAATAAAGATTGTTATCATTATTGAAATAATCGTAAATTTTAACAAAACTTTGGCTAAATAGCGTTATTTCAAGTTTAACAAAGAGAGACTCAATTTAATTAAAATTTCACAAAAGGATTGTAAAAATTGAAGAGAACAAAAGGGGAAAATAATTTACAAAATGAAGGTTCCAACACCGACATATACAATATTTTTTCATGGAATTTCATTAATTTATTATCAATTCTTTTTCTGGTAATTTTTTTTAATAAATTTTGGTCAATTTGATATTTTTACGGAATTTTGGTGAGTTTTTGGGATTTCCAGGGCTTTATAAGGAATTAAAGTTGTTCGATTTTACCTTTAAAATGGTGAAAAATTGGTTTATGAGAATTTTTTGGGATTCTAGATCCCAAATCGGTATTTTTGAAAATTGTGGGAATTTTCACGGATTCAATAATAGAGAAATCTAAGGATTATGATTTTTTGTGGATTTTTTAGAATCTTGCTTGCACTTCAGGGTATTTTTTACGGATTTCTGGGGATTTATAAGGAATTAAAGTAACACTGAGAACGATTTATCAAGAACTTTGCTTCTAAAATGGTGAAGAAATTGGTTAAATTTGAGTATTTTAAGTTGGATTTCGTGAGATTTTTTGAAAAATTTCTCTTTTTTTCGTGTTTTGAAAATTGAGAAAACAAATGCAAAAATATTATAGATAACTTTTTTTCAGATAAATAGTATTTCCCTTGGTTGGATTTGGAATTATCGAGAATTTCTTGTAAATTTTTTAATTTTTTCCAAAAACTGCAGACTGAATTGAATTTACACTTATTTTCACGGAAAAATTAAGATTTTTAACAGTTTTTTTTTTTATAATTTTTTACAATTTGTAACTTGTTGATATTTATTTTTACGGAATTTAAATTTAAAGTATTTCCAAGTATTTATAATGAACTCAAGTAGTCCTGATGTAAAAATCAGGTAATTAGAATAAATTTTTGCTATGACACACTTTTTGTGAACACGGATTTAAATTTCACACGATTTGATGGAAATTTTTGAAAATTTTGACAATTTTTGAGTTTTAGTTAAGATTTCCGCCAATTTTCCCACTTTATGGAGACATTTGAGTAATTTGAAATTAACAAGGAAGGCTTGAAATAAGTGTTTTTGAAAATTTTTTGGAATGTTTTGTATTTTTTTCTATTTATTTTTATTTATTTCTAATGCAATAATGTATAAAATGTGCACGTTATAATCCTATTTATTTATTTTGGTATTTTTAAAAGGTTTTTTAATTATTTCCTTAAATGTTTAGGAATTTCAGAAAAAAAACAAAATTCGGTTTTCTCCAAATTTTTGGGACATTATAAGATTTAAAATAATTCTGATTGACTTAATCATAAGTGTGATTTTTTAATAATCATGTTTTTGTTGATATTTTTAAAAAATTAAGGATTTCTTTTTTAGACTGGAATAAGAATAGGAATTTCTAATCTTCTAAGGTTTACGAAAAGTTTTTTTGAGATTTCTAGACTTCATATTGACAATTTACCTTGAAAAAATTCAGTGATTTTTTAGACTTTTATAAAATTTTAAAGAAAAAAAACTCCGATCTAAATATTTCTTTATGTAGTTAYAAAATTTGTTCAGWATTCAGTATTTCTGAAGGAAAATTAACAGAATTCGGCTTCCTCTAGGATATTTTTTGTGATTTTTTGACATTCTTATATCTAAATAAATAATTCTCATTGACTTATTGTGATTTTTTTTAAATAACCAAATTTTTCTTTAAGTATTAGGGATTTATTTTTTATACTCACTCAAAATGATAGTTTATGCGGGCTTACAAAAATTTCTACGTTTCTGAAGATTATGATTTTTTTTATTTCATGTACAAAAATATAAAAAAAATACTTAAGATTTTCGCCAATTTCCTCAGTTTATGGAAAAAATTGAGTAATTTTTATGCCTGGTATAATTCGATTTACTTAATCAAAGTGTGATTTTTTAAT